ATCAGTTACAATAAAGGATTAGTCTTTCAGACCTATATATTAAGTTGTTGCGTCGTAAAAATAGCTAAGTATAATAATAAATAAGAAAAAGCTATAAAAATTTCACGAGATAATCCAGAAATATCCTTGCAAATATCAGAGAGCCCTTCGAATCGAGGCAGAGTTGCTTGTCTAATACCAGAATAGCTGAAAATTGCGAGCCAATGAGGCGTATCACGAAACATCAGTGCATAATTAGGCCGTGGCTAAGAGAGAACGTTAGAAAACCTTTAAAAGAGCTGTTCCTCGTCGGAAAAGAACATGAAGATCCCTCGAGAAGCCTGCATTGCGGACTATCGCACCGTGTGGTAAATGTTAAATCGTGATTCTTCTTCGGCCCGAAAAAATTCATCTTGCACAACAAGTATATCTATACACATACGTCGAATTCGTAAGTTTCTATGATCGTTTGCAACATTTATAATTTTTCATTTCGTTGAAATTGATTTAAATGAGATTGTAATACACTCTCGATCTCTCTTTATATTAAATGTAACACGTTCAATTAATCATTAGATAAGGAATATAATTATTAATTAGTAATTAATGAGCTGATACTATTTCTTTTTTTTAATTCTCGGTCTACAATGAAATGTATTTAAATAAAATCAACAGTATAATATTTGATAACGAATAAAACTAATAAATATAACGAATATTAATTCAATGAATATTTTTTTGCAAGAAAAAGGATGAGATAAGATTGAATTAAATAATTAATTACAATATAAAGCATGCGTTTCCAGCCTGTAGTGTTAACACATGAATGAAGTGTGCGAGGCTAAATACATGTTTGCCTATTCACAGCAGTATATCAGTTTATCTATATTCTGAACACAATCAGATACCGGATAAGAACTGCAAATTCAACAATTGTATTATCTTATATTTTCGAATAAATGATTAAGTTGAAAATTATTTATTTATTTAAAAATTATTTATTATTTGTTTAATTTAAAATTATTTAAGTATTTTCCCCTAAAATAATATTTTTAAAAGTTTATGTTTCAGTTACGAAATATATTTCAGTTCCTGTATATACATACGTACGTATCGTTATGTTTCTTTTAACCTTTCTGCGTGTAAATACAAGCAGCCTAACCATAACACAACATATTCAAAACAAAGTACATATATCCTAAGATATTTAAGAAAGGATTTTACAGTTGTTATTCCTTTGTCGTTAACAATATAAAATGTTGGAAGAAATCATGTAAATGCATTTATATAAATGTCGTTATGAATCGATAATATAGATTGCAAAGTATCAATTTATCGACATTCGACGTTGTTCATAAATTCATATGCGGTAAACTTTCTTCTTATTTAAAAGATTTACGTGTAAATTATTTATATATCTATGTATAAATTAATGACTAAAATTCGTGTGTTATTAATATATTTCATCGATTATTTCATCTTACAATCATACCGTACTGATGATACAAATATAACGCATCTAAACTTAACAAGAGGCCGCTAAATGTCATGAAGTAATCGCCACAGTAACGTGAATATTTATTTCGATCGACAAAACTGTATAAATTTTACATTGCATCATAGCAACACAATAAAAAAGCAATCTCCTATTCAATAGTAAACGCATAACAACTGAATTATTCCAATTGAAACAATAGACTTTACAAAATTTCGTCTATATACAATTTTTTTTCTAATAGAAACTACTTTTAAAATATTGTCAATTATAATGTTTAAATTTTTATTTCTTAGAATTAAAAACAAAAGTTTTTTACGAAAAAATTACAAAATTAATCACAAAATGAGTCGACAGAGCATTTATAACAAGCATGCTGTTCCCGAAATTACGAGAACGTTAACCTATAATAGGTATGAGGTAATTAACTACAAATAATTACAATACAATAGTTGTAAACAAAATAAGTATCAGATTATCAGCTGAACGTGTTACCATAACCGCAATGGCTGTTATTGATCTCGCAAGCGGGCTCTTTCGCAAGCGCGTGCTGCGTTAAAACCCCTTCTACCAATTTCTACGTACGCGATTAAATCTCGCTTAATATCTTCTACTCACTGCCAGTTGAGGAATAAAATGTTTGGTATTAGAACTTACCAAAAGTAGATCTGCCAGGCTGGAGCGAATGCTAAAAAACTGCAACGCACTCCATAGTACGCGCGAGAAACAATAACTTACAACTAATTGGCAAAAAAATGCAATAGCACGCGAAAAATTTAGTTACGAATGAAAAAAGATATCGGTGTGAAAACAGTGAAACGAATGACACGGTTACCGGCACGGAGAAAACGCGTTAGTTTGACACTGGAGAACGTAAAATGCGAGATTTTGATAAGCAACGAAAGAAAGGAATAACGCGACAAGGAGACCGATACGTGTTTTGACCGTGTCTCAAGTCCAGGGTGGATTGTGGTTAGTTGCGCATGTGTATCGACGCAACCCTTCTTTCGCGACTTTCATTGGTCTCTTTAAGAGACAGTGACGACACAATTCGGGGTGCAGAGTAGGGGACGATAAGAAACGCGAAATTCGATTACGATAATTATTTCTTATTGTTGTACTTTTTCATGCATACTTTCTTGATTCGTATTGATATGAAATATTTTGTTCATATATATTTTTCTTTCATTTTGTTAAAAATTTAATTACAAATGATATAATAATGATTGTATAATTCACAGTAATGCTCAAATTATGATAATAAAATTAAGTTTCTCTTATAATCACGATTTCCTAAATATATTTAATTTCTGTTTAACATAATTGTTCTCTGCAATATTATAACACATAATAAACGAAACTATGCTTCGTGCTAGTGAGCATTACGACACAGTTACAATCTATTAATTATTATAGTCACTTCTATTTCGCACGATTATCAAATTAAAAAGATGCTTATTAAAAATATTATTAAGCAATGT